CAGAACTTAAAAATGGCATAAAATACACAATAAAAAATCTTAAATATTGTGAAAAAATAGCCTCATTATCTTTTTCACCCAAAATTTAAAGAAGGGAAATTTCAAATTACAAAGCTGCTAATTAGCACAAAATGATTTATTATTTAAAATAAATAACCCTATCAACAAACAATTTCTTTTCTAGACTTTGGTATGATTCTAAAACATTATATTTTCCTCTCACTTATTATTTCAAATAATAAACCAAAATCAATGCATCAGAAATAATAGTTATAATGAATTAAACAGAAATATTTTTAAAAAAAAAAATAATAAAATAAAAAGAAATTCCAGCAGGGACTAAGAATGTCTTTCGGAAAAGGCTAAGCAGAACGAATATATCTGTTTCTATTCAGCTCAACTTACTTAAAATTAAAAGTCTCTTTCATTCTTCAATCCACAATAATTATCTATCCCACAGTTTATAAAAATTAATCAAAATATTAAAGTTTGAAACTGATGCTGACTTTCACAAAATGTATAGTGGGTTTCTGACTTATTCACAACCAAACCAAATTTCCAACATATTTTCAAAACAGCCAGAAGCATCAAATACATTTTGATATTTTACTTAATAATCAAGAAGTTTATTAACTTAGTTTAGGAACAATCAACAGTAAGTCACACAGCAAGTGTAAACCTTATTTTGATGCCCGTGACATTTCAAAATAAATACAGAAAATGTTCATTAATTTGTAAACTAATAATGGGCTTCATTTAGAAAGTTATTTCAACTGTAAATGTGTAAAAACTAAAAATGTATACAAATTCAAGAAAATTTTGGTCTCTGATGAAAATTCAGTAATACATTTTATGATCCCTCCGAGGCGTTCTGAAAAGAAGATGGCCTCGGGATCTTCTAATATAGAACTTTAATTTGAGTTCTACCAATGGGTAGTTTCTCTTCATGTTGTACATGCCATGTTACAAATTTCTCATTTACTTATTGTATTCTCTATGTAATACAGTTGTAAATTCCATTAAAATAAAAAAAATAAAATAAAAAAAACATTTTATGACAAAAAGAACTAGACCCTAATATATTGATTCAATTTTTATATAAATCATTTCAATTCTACTATAATCTGAAAAATAACAATAACTTCATCAAAATACAAGATACACTAAAACGGTAAATTACAATTATCAGCTGTTAATTGTATCTAGCATTAAACCTCTTTTGGCTTTTTAAAGTATATATTAAATCTAGTCAAAGGTTTAAATTACAGACAAAAGAATGTATCTTTTTTATTAAAATAAACCCTTATAACAGATTGGTTTAGATAAGAAATTTTCATCATCTGTTACTCCAGAACTTTTAATACACTAAAATTTAATTCCTAATACATGCTGTCCAGCAATATAAGATAAAATGTTCTCAAAATAATTCCCAACTTGAAGGAATTATATTCTGCTGGACACCCTGTAATACTGAATTCCTCCATAAATTAGTAACTATTTAAGTACAAATGGTGCAGTAAGTTAAATAACATCGAAACCTCAAATAGCTAAACATAATTATTATTTTTCAAAAAGGAGAATTTCTCATACTGAGGTAATACATGGATATAAAATACAATTAACACTGCATTATACGATAATAATTTCTTACTTTTATTTATACTTCCTAAAAAAGATAATGAAATAAAATTAATAACACATGATTTCAAAAAAAAATATGTGCTAGGTCTCTAAGAATATATATACTGGTAACTTTCACTTTAAATTCTAGAGGGAAATTCTTTCTCAATAAAACAATAAGAATGGGAGTTAGTTATAGTACTTTTTAGTTATACCAGCACCATAATCGGTAATTTTGGCCATCTAATTTTCAGAAAAATACTGAATGTTAAGGAGACAAGTTTTATTCACTTTAAATGTTAATTTAGCTAAGTGTTAAAGCTGTAATTTTTCTCATTAAGAAGTAATCCTTTAATAATACTTTGGAACAGAATGGAAAAAAAAAAACTGTTATGGGAAAGAATGGAAATTTAATGGCATTTTACTAATCAGAATTACTGTAAACCAGAGTTATTTAGGGACTAGAATTTATAGTGACTATATACTAGAGTTTATATTGAATTTGAAATCACCTTGTGGACTGAAACATTTTTATATAAAGACTAGAGGAAAGTTGTCTGAATACAAAAACATTTTAGCCAGCCAGGTAATTTTATATTCAAATATACTCTGGTACATAGTCACCCTCTAGTCCCAAAGTAACCCTGGTTTGCAGAATTACTAGTTTTAAGTAAATCCTACCTAATATTCATTTAATTTCTAATAAAATAATCAGGAACTTTGTTTAAAAACTCTGGAGAGCCCACTGCCAGTAGTTTATAAGTCATTAATCAAGAATAAGATAATAGAGCAATTGCTCAGGAAGAGAGTTACTCTGGAAGGTGGTGCAAGTATAACAGAAAAGTACAAAAGATTATAAAATTGTAATGAGAGTTCTGTTGATTTCAGGTTTTACATTTGAGCAACATAATTAAGAAATAGATCTAATCTAAAAAGAAGTGAAGATGTTGAACATGACAAATCAACATAAACATAAAAAATAAAATAAACACAAATCCTAAATAGAATAAATTGTCAATTAATTAACTAAACCAGTCACAATTAATTTTGAACATGGGGCTCAAGAAATTTTATATGAAATTATGATGATCACTTATTTAATAAAATAAATTTGATTTAAAATGTTTCAAATGTAAACACAAAAAATTTATAGATTTAAATTAAAAACAAATAAAAGTATGATTATGAAAAGTTTATTCTGAAAAAACAATTTTCATTTGTTATTAGTAATGGAAATGAAACCGACACAACAGAAAGCCCAGAGATCTTCTTATTGCTATGTCATTATTCATACACCAAAAATAAAATTGACTATGTTGAGCATCGAACTTTTAATGAACTATGGTATAGATTAAACCTGAAAAATGGAAAGAATCTATTGTTATTCCGATTCACAAAAAGGGTCCGAGGACAGATTATAATAACAATCGAGGAAGTTCATCCTTCCAGTATGTTACAAAATATTTACTTTTATCTTAACTAGTCGAATCACGGAATACGGCGAGGAAATTATCGGTGACCACCAATGCGAATTTAGAAGGAACCATTCGACTACTGATCAAATATTTTCTTTACAGCAAATATTGGAGAAAAACTTAGAGAACAACAATGTTGTTCACCAGCAGTATATCAATTTCAAAAAGGCTTATGATTCTAATGACTGCCAGAAACTGTATAATATTCTAATCGAGCAGCGGGTTCCAAAAAAATGAGTGAATCTAGTCAGGATATGCTTGACGGAAACACTCAATAAAATTAGAATTGGTAATAATTTATCCGAAAAGTTCAATTTGGTATTAGAACATGCTATTAGGGAAGTAACGCATACCGAAAAAGGGTTGGATCTGGGTGGGAAAACAACCGTGCTTGGCTATGCGGATGATCTGGTCCTGTTAAGAGAAGACACAGAAACTATAAAACTAAATACGACAATGTTAATGAAAGCCGGTAAAGAACTACGGCTTGAAGATGAACATGGATAAGACAAAATATATGGTTAGCTGCAAAAATGGCGATATTGCTGGTGATATCAATATAGACAGAAATATGTTTGAACAGATAGAGAAGTTTAGGTATCCAGGATCTATGATAACTAGAAAAAATGAAATTGGATATTTTAGAGGAGATTAAGGTTAGGCTGAAGGCGGGAAATGCTTGTTATTTTTCTGTGACAAAACTACTTAACTCGCACCTCTTGTCCCGGAACTTAAAAACTAGAATCTATAAAACCATTATCTTACCTACAGTTCTTTATGGATGTGAAACGTGGCCGCTTACACTAAGGGATGAGCAACGTCTTAAGGTTTTTGAAAATAAAGCATTGCGTAGAATATTCAGACCGAATAAGGAAGAGTTAAACTGAGAGTTCAGATGGTTACACAATGCCGAATTGCATAAACTATATCTAGTTAATATAATTGAAGTGATTACATCATGGCGAATCAAATGTAAAAGTATGTTCATGTTTGTGAAACAAATATTAACATGAAACAACAGATTCAGATTAAAAACCGAAACTACTGACAGATCAGATTTAAAATTAATAATAAACACGAGATCTGTTCAGTAAGTAACCAAACTACTGAAAAATTTAGAAATATGTTTTCTGTTTTCTGAAAAAAGTTTCCCATCATAAATTCATTGAGATCAGTTCTGTAGATTTTTCTTCTGTTTTTTTTAAACTACTTATTGGTAAATTTTATAACTTTTATAAAAATATATAATAATTTCTCCCAATTTTTTTAGTAAAACTTTAAATTTATCAGAAAAACAAATTTCAAAGTCTCTCTATTAGTGGGAAAGTTAATATATTTGTAACTGTTATAGGTTCACATAGACCCAGAATAGACTTAATAACTTCATCCTGGTGCACTTTTTTCACCTTTTCACCTTGAAATCACCTTTAACCACCTAATTCTGACTTTGATCAATTAATTAAGAGAACCCACTTAATAGGTCTGGGAGGGTCTCTAAATCCCAGATAAATAATTATCTGCCAAAGTCAGATTTAAACTCAGGACCAGGAGAATAAGATCACAGATTATATAGGCATATATTTGCAATGTAAAAAAGTATTACATTGCCCCCACCATACATTGTCTTATTAAAACAGGAATTTTTAATAGCAAATTAAATGACATAGCTGATTCAGCCTCCTGCTTCTAGTCCCAGAATAGATTTAGTGAGGTATTCCAAATTAAATACTGTGTTAAGAAGGAGAAGTAAATTAAAATCAAATTGGCAAATAGAAATCTACCATTATTTATGTCAAAAAAAAAATTATAAACATATATACTTTGTTTGGTTACTTTATGAACATCATCAAGCTAACTTCAATAATCTGCATATAAATAAGGATAAAATAACGAAGTTGATAGAGTCTAAGAGCACAGTACCTGCTGCATAGGTGGGTGATGAGGCCTTGTCTGTGGAGGTGGTCCAAAATCCATCGAAGGTCCTGGAGGAGGAGGTCTAGGGGGTGGAGCCTGTTGGAAGTATGGTCCTCCAGGATTCTGGTTAGGAGGCATTCCTGAAAGCACAACTTTTATCAATGAGATATTAAGGGAAGAGCAGAAAGAATGTATTTAAACCTTTGGCTGCGGACAGGATATATGCCTTCCCGTTAAGAGTTGGGTCACTGGTGCAGAAGGTATATATGCCTTCCCGAATAGTGGATTGGATCACTGGTGCGGCCAGGATACATGCCTTCCCGTCTTGGCTGCCGGCACTTAAACAGGTAGAGGCATGTCCCTCCTTCACCATTTGACTTGCGGCTAGGTCAGTGCATTTATTAGACCCCTGTAGCACAGTGCAGTCGTTCCGGATTCTGATCATTTGGAAGCTATCAGCTGCAGATTTATTTTGAACCCAAGGTATAACCTTTCTCTGTCATTTGTGTCACATCCATGATCTTATTTATATTCTTCTTAAATGTTTTATACATAAAATAAATTTTAATAGGTTAATTTAATAACTCTTTAAATATTTGGTTTTTTAAATTTGGTTTTGACTAAATGCTGATTTTAGTATATGTGAATTTCTGTCTACTAAACAAATAAATGTAAGTTTCCTACATTTTATATATATATATATATATATATATATATATATATATATATATATATATATATATATATATATATATTCTATATATATATATAGAATTCTAGAATTCTTCACCTATATATACATATATATATATATATATATATATATATATATATATATATATATATATATATATATATATATATATATATATATATATATATATATATATATATATATAAATTTTAAATATTTATAACATAAATATAACTGTTGATTTCCTAACACATATATATATATATATATATATATATATATATATATATATATATATGTTAGGAAATCAAAAGTTATATTTATGTTATAAATATTTAAAAATTTCACATATTGTTGAAATAGGCATATGTGAATAATTATTGTTGTTAAAAAAGTCAAAAAGTGTAAAAGTTTAAAATCTCTGCTTAAAGTTTTAGTGAAATAAAACCAAGTTTATTTCAAAATAGAGTACTCAAGTTATTCTAGCTTGAACCTAGGGTAGGTAGGGGAACCTACCTCAATTATAACGGTTAGTTATATATTTGACCCCTAACCCGAACATAAGTGGCGACCGTGACAGGACCTGTTGAGTTCTCCATTTTTTAGTTTGATTGGATTCAAAATGGAAAACAAGAAGATGCAGAGAAGGATTTGCTGCACTTTCTTTACAAGGTATGCAAATGAATTAGAGCAGTTGCTCAGTTGTGATATTCCTAATTTGTAAGAAATATCCGCTTACTCAGAGTTTCTGAGGAAGAAGTCAGTGATTTTAGAATCACTTGAAAACGAAATATTTGATTTATCAATAGAAAATGATGTATCCGAAGAAGAGCTAATATCAGAATTGGAAGAGGCCGATGGAATCAGGGAAAGGTACGAAATTATTAAAATTAAGTACCAGAAGGTCGTTAAAGGTGATAAAATTTCTATTAGAAATAATGATCGACATTGTGTTAATTTGGGTTTTGACAAAATAAGATTTGGTTTGTTTGAAACTCCTTTGAAGGTTTCTGAAAATAAAAAGACAACATCAATCCATGGCCAGGTTTTTGGTGTCTGGAGCATTGCACGATGAAGATGAAAACATATGTTCTAAAGATAATGCTAATGAAGATAGCATTAGAACATTTGAGGATGAAGGTGAAGATCTGTGTGATAAAGATGGTGCTAAGAAAGATAACATTAGAAGATTTAAGGATGAAGTTGAAAACATTAGGGCAATTGAGGATGAATATGAAGACATGTATGGTAAAGAGGATGCTAAGGAATATGCTAAGCATGATGCTAATGATGAAAGCATTAGGGCAATTGAGGATGAAGATGAAGAAATTTATGTTAAAAATGATACGTCCAGATATAACGTTTCTTTGGAAACCTGTGCTAGTTTGAAGGAGGCTAGGAGGAAAGAAAGACAAAAACAACAACAAATACTCGTAGTGACTGAAAATTACAATGGCATGGAAGGCCGTATACCAGCTAAAATCCAAAGTTATGGAATAAAATATTGTCCACATTATGAACTACAACCTGACTTTGATCCAAATATTACTCAAAGAAAATTAGGATTTGGTCCTGAAGTTGATGGAAATGTCCAGGCAGTGAGAGGAGAAGATATAGTTAATTTCTCAGACAGAGCGATCATTTTAGGAGAATCATTGCTTGACCATCGAAAGGAAGTCGAAACTGATCTCAATGAGAGAAACACAAACTGAAGAAGACAAAAATTCTGATGAGTTAAGTTTTATACCATTCATTGGTTATCCTGCTAAACCAGTGAGATATAAAAGATATCTTGGCTTTATAAAGATAGAAGCTAACGATACTTTGAAAAATATTCAACCTAAGAAATTGCCTCAAAGGATACGAAAAGAGAAGAATGATAAAAATGATGGAATTAAAATTAAAAATATAAATATTCAAAATTCATCAGGTGCTGATACGGCTGCTGCTCCAGAACTAATATTTGGTACCTCACTACCAACCAAACCAATTTTCATAGAGAAAACAACTACAAATGAAGACAGTGGGTCATCTTTATATGAAATAGAATGGATCAAAGAAGGTACTTCTAAGAAAAAGAAGCATTCAAAGCAGAGAAAAAAAAAAAAAAGAAGGGCGCTCTTGGATTTGAAGACTGAAGAGAGTTCCTTCGACTTTTTTTTACTATTTTAGAATTGTATGAAACAATTCAAAACTCCTATGGGAGGATATTAGGAAATCAAAAGTTATATTTATGTTATAAATATTTAAAAATTTCACATATTGTTGAAATAGGCATATGTGAATAATTATTGTTGTTAAAAAAGTCAAAAAGTGTAAAAGTTTAAAATCTCTGCTTAAAGTTTTAGTGAAATAAAACCAAGTTTATTTCAAAATAGAGTACTCAAGTTATTCTAGCTCGAACCTAGGGATCAGTTATAACGGTTGGAACCTAGGATCAGTCATAATACAATTCTAAATTGGGAAATAGTAATAAGGAGGCTTACAAAATTGATAACTCTATTTTAATTTTTTTTAATGTATACCTTTAAAAATTTTATAATTTGGCTAAAACAAATATTTATTAAAATGTTGCAGTGCAGTGCAAAATAACATTTTAATAAATATTTGTTTTAGCCAAATTATAAAATTTTTAAAGGTATACATTAAAAAAAATTAAAATAGAGTTATCAATTTTGTAAGCCTCCTTATTACTATTTCCCAATTTAGAATTGTATTATGACTGATCCTAGGTTCCAACCGTTATAACTGATATAATTAAATATATAATTAAATTGAAATGTAATAATAAAAATTAATAAATGTATATAGAATTAAAATGATGCTTCAGTTGTTTTATCATTTTTGCACCCACCTAAAAACAACATATATTAATATTTCATATAATACAAGTGTTTGAAACTCAAAATAAATGTAAGTGCAATAATAAAATTTACAACTGCGCTATTTTCAATATGGGACTTCTCAGAAAATGAGGAAATATGCAAGAAAGTGAAGTGTTACCGGACTTCCGCTCTAATTTTGCATTGCTATGTCGGGCCGGGAAGGCATACATCCCGTTTTTTTAAAGTTGAATAAAAATGTTAAAATACATATTTGAAAGCTAAGATCTAGCAGGGTGATTCAAAATAGCATTTCAAACAAATTTATGCAAACATTTGTAATAACCTAAATAAACCATGACGATATTATAAAAGAAAGAAATATTATAACTAAATGATCTGTGACTAAAACCATTGAAGGTTAGTTACCTTGAATAGGTGGAGCTGGGCGAGGAGGTGGAGGCCCCTGCTGGTGCATGCCAGGCATCGGCATACCTTGCTGCTTCCCTTGCATGCCCTGGCCCACCATTGGACCGTAACCTGGTCCCTGCATACCTGAGCACAGGACAAACAATAGTATTATTTTGAGTAAAAATAATTCTAAAGCAAGCCCAATCATTCTTAAGTGAGCAGTCATTACACATGCTAAAGAAATTTATAACCATGACTTGTAAGAGAAACAATTTTTTTTTAAATCTTTAATCATTAAATAGTTAGAAAATATATAGTAAACATAATTCAAAAATGTATTTAAATATAATTAAATTTATAACAAATAAATGAATATAATAAATTTACACCATTGGTGCCATTGAATAAAAGTTGAATTTTCTAAAATTTTAAGTTGTTCTAACCTTCCTAAGATTGCAAGTATTTTCAGAAATCTTACCTCTACTAAGATACCAGGTTCCCCGTCATTTATCACTCCATTATCATTAACACAATTAGTTATTCTCACCTGTTTAATCTTCTTTTCATCTGACTTTCCAATAGCAAAAAGGCTTTTTCAATATTTAGTTCTAATTTGTAGAAGAAACATTAAATTTTTTTTTTTTTACACGAATGTTCTTCTTTGTTTCTTATTTAAATTAATAATAATAATAATAATTCTGCAATTTGTCGCCTTAAAACTCATACTCTATCCTACCCTATAAATCCCATCTTTTGTTAAATGTATTATTATTATTAGAAGATCAATCTCCCAGAATAGATAAAAATTAATATTATTTTTACAAAACTATACCTCCCCAAGGGTACTTACTTTCACCTTGACATGATGGGGAGGCTAGAGTATCATGAGGAACCTGAGAGCTATGCCGATAGAGCCACCCATATCGGATAGGTCTTAGGTGAGAGGTATCAGACTAAGAGAGGTAGCACTCCCCTAGTTGGGGATACCTGCGCAGGGCCAGCTCCCCAGTCAGGAAAATAACTTGCTAAAAAACCTAATGAACAGCCTCGGATAACCGGATTGATTAAACTACAAAGGCTACAGAATCGGAAATGGATTTTAAATTATGGATGTTGGAACATCCCGGGGATGAACGGTATAATAAAATATGAATTAGAAAAATTTGGCCACCGCTTCGAAGGCCACTGAAAAGGAACTCCTTATTTCTTAAAGAAAAGTTCTTTGCTGTGTTTTTGGGAAGAGGAAGTTGGAGAGGAGTGGAAGCGGCGCACGAACCAGGAGCTGTACAATGTTTTTGGAGAAGCTGATATGAGAGCAATTAAATTGAGGCGTTTAAGATATGAAGGACATATTGCTGGGATAGCGGATAGATAAATGCCTAAAATATTGCTTGCACAGCAAATCTATGGAACAAGAAGAGCTGAGATGATCAGATGGTGTAGCAGGAGACGCCCGCATCATGCTGAGAGTAAAGAAGTGGATGGCATCTGGAGGAAACGGTTGGAGGAGGCTACATATATATATACTTATAATAATTGTTGGATATCTCTGAAGACAAATCTAATTGGCTTGTCGAACTAAAGATGCGAAATGATTACCTGGAGGTCGAGGCCAATCAGGACGTGGAGGTGGAGGTCCATGTTGATCCATTGGAGGTCCAGGCATTCTAGGTGGTCCTGGGAACTGAAAATGATGAGAACAAAATAAAAATTAAATTAATGCACAAATAAAAAATAGAGTTTTTGCTTGTTGACAAATAAACTACAATGACAATAATAATATAAAATACTAACAAATTTATAGAAAATCAAAATTACTAACCATGCCAGGAGGTGGCTGAGGTGGTCCTTGCTGCTGCATATGGTGAGGAGGTCCAGGAACCCTAGGCGGTCCTGACAAAAAATATATATATTAGTTAAAATAAAATTAAAATATTGGTTAAAAATTGAGGCCTTTATACAAAAATGTTACAAAATAACCAATTTTTAAGTAGAATATTACATGAGGCAGCTTAGACAGCACAACATATAGAAATTCAGAAAACATAAATTTTTAGTTCAGAAAATTGATTAGTTATTAATCATAACACAATTCTAAACATAAAAACCCATAAAGATGGTGGTTAATAAAAAATGGTTAACTGCTAAACAGGCATACTCAAGAAAACTCACCACCTAGCTTAGGAATCAATTCCTTATCTATACAGTATTTCCAGAGAGAAAAAAGAAGACTAGCAGATGTAATACTACAATAGTCAAACATAAATACTGTAGTGAAAAAAGTTCTACCAAATTTCATAAATATAACAATTAGCTAAGACAGCTAAAATCATTTATGAAACTAGTGTAGAAGGTTTAATACAATCCTAAATTGGGAAATAGTAATAAGGAGGCTTACAAAATTGATAACTCTATTTTAATGTGTATCTTTAAAAATTTTATATTTTGGCTAAAACAAATATTTATTAAAATGTTGTTTTGCACTGCAACACTGCTACAAGTAAGACAGATAGACTTATCAGAAATTTATTCTATTAATGACAGCCTTTTTATTCATTGGGTTTTTATATTTTGTTTTTTGGAAAATATTGGAATTTTGAAGTTATCTCTTTTTGTTTGTTTACATAACTTTTTTTGTTTATAACAAATTTTTCTAAAATCTATATTTTTTATGTTAAATGGATGAAGTATGTGTGTGTTAATCGTAAAAGGATCTATAAGTTTGTTGCTTTCTTTGTTATTTTGTAGATCTATTTATACAATAAAAATAAAAATTATTAAATAAATAGTTATTTGATCCTCAGAGTAAAAATTTGACCAAAAGGTAGAAAGTGGACAGAACAATGTATGACTATTGAAAAACATTTACACAGCTCGTAAAAGAGCTTGGATCATAAACTCGAACATTACTTTTTGAGTAAGAGTCCCTCTAATACAGCCACTTTCTCAATTAATATGGTACATTAAATATGAGAGAGAGAGAGAACTACAATAAAATCGTAATGCTGATCAATTATGTTGAGTTGCTTATTTAAGATAGGTATATAAATCTTGAAAACGATTCAGCTGATATGCTTTGTATATAAAAATTATTTTCTTCCTTTTTTCATCCTCAATTTTTTCATCCGGATCCATAAAGCAATGACCGGAATTAATAGAGACAGTGGTACAGGATTCTCAGTATTAGTATTCACTAACTTCCAGTATTAAATTATATTACACTACATAATACTTCTGAATGAGATAATTCAGCCATAACCAGCTAAGCCTAAGGATATGCAATCAGACATACTATAGAAATTACCAGGATGACGGATGCCGTTATGATGCCACTGCTGATTGTAGTGCGGTGGCTGGTGGTGGTGCTGCGGCCTGGGGCCCTGATCTGGTGGCAGCGCATTGGTCAGTACACCAGGCTGCTGGCCCCGAGGGGGCATCTGGCCCTGCTGACCTTGTTTGTTAGCAGCCGCGGGTGACCTCATCTTAGCTTCGTTCTCAAACTGTGAAAATAAAGCCAAAATCAACTGATAGTGAACTAATTTATGCAAGTGTCCTTAGTTCATTATAATCCGCACAAGTATTATATTTTGTTACTCTTTGATATACATAAACAAGTAACAGATGTAATTAAAAATTGTTGGGAAATTACACTTTTTTCCACAAAGTATATTTGAACATGAAATAAAAGTGTTTTCATTCAGCTTTTTCAAATACAATTGATAAAGAAAAATTTGGATTGTTAATTCAATCCTGGCAAACCTTGACAAATTTCCATATAATATGGAACTGTTTCCTTTTAATATGCCATTTATTTACTAAAGAACTTTCATAATTTTTCTCTTGAATGTCATATAACTTTGAGGATTGAAATTAAATAAAAAATTAACATTTTTGGAGAAATAAAAAATATTTCCTTCAGTAATAAAGAGGGTTAACATTACAGACAAAAAAAATTAACAGGTTTTTTTTATAGGCAATAAAAAAAGTCTCTTAAGAATAATTTCACAGTTTAAAATGTATGTACATTAAAGCTGGCTTAATGTTTACAAAAAGATACTTGACAACTATCTACAACAATTACTATAAATAGTAATTATATAGCCATAACATTATTAGATTTTCCAGTCAATCCCTACAAAAAAAGTAATAGTACATATAAAAGTACCTATGATTGTTTAGGCCATTACCGATAGATAACTATCGATACGATATTTATAAATACTATTTATCAATATTACCATTTGTTCAGGTCATTATTTTATTTTTAATTTTACACAAATTATAAATAGTAAATTATGAGTAATAAGTATTTTTGTTTTGTTTTAATTTAAGTTTAATTTACACAAAAACATATATTTATATGAACCGAGAGAATTTTATATAGTTTAATTTGAATGTACAAAACAATCACCTGTCTTAGGAACTAATGAATGGTACCCTTCCCGCTCCACTAAGAGCTACACTGGCTACTAACGAATGGAGATCGAGCGTCTTTTTTCTCTAGCTATCTAGAAGGTGAGATAGTTGGGTCAGTGTCTCCCTTTAAGATAGTCAGAGTCCACCTTCGTTTATATTTAACTAAGCCAGTGGTTACTTTACTGTATATCTTTGTCGGTGTCTCTACATTCTTTAGCCGCCAGCTGGAATAAGAAGAGATTCACCTCCAACAGTAAACCAGTAAAATCAGGCCTGATTATTTTTTATTTATTATGGAATCAAATCTTTTATAATAGAACACTGCCAAGGTTTAGACGCTTCATCATAAATTTCCCAGTGAGAATCACCTCTTCATTTTTTTTGGAATGCAGAGAATAGACATTGCTTCATTATTATTAATTTCTATTTTACATTATATTTATTGGTCCCCAATTTTATATCACTATAAATTTAATTTGTTGTTTTTCTCAAATAATTATTTTCGAAGTTCCTCCCTCCTTTTTCTTTATTAATATTATTAATTTTTTTCCTGAGGAAAATTTCTTTATTATTTACATATGTATATATGATTATAATTTTGTATAGTTTAGGTTAATTGTAAGTTGTAATCTCTCGATTCATAATTAAATTAATATATTCTTTTGTTTTCCAATTACTTTGTCATATTTTTTCTCTTTCCCATTTTTTATCTTATTTATTAGTTTTAAAGGTTCAAATGACTGGCACTTATTGAAACAGGGTTGAGACTATGTTTGAATATTTTACAACATCCCTCTCTCCTTCAAATGATTGTTGTAATAAGAACATGAAACTCTTTTCTTAAGTCCTCAAGGAGGACTAATAAGTGTAAAGAAATTTAATTCACCAAACTCTAAAAGAAAACTATCAAGTGATAGGGTAATACTATAATGAGAAATTAATTGGTTGATTTAGCAATGAGAGGTAGAATGTTTACATTAGATATATCTAAAGCAATGTAAAGTTCATTGGGATCGAGTTGGCACAATTCCTGAACAAACATTACCACGAGCACTGGCTCACTATATGTTGAAGGGGCCTATCTTTGGAATAAGGACTGTTTAACATGATCTGAATGCTGTTTAACAGCAAGTTCAGACCACTCTCTAATACGTTTAGACCTTCATATATATTATTGTTTATTTTCATCTTGACATACATTACTTAAATTTAATTAAATTAAGTTTTTATCTACCATTATTTTTTTACTTATTTCAATCTACTGATCGATCTAACATTATGTTTAGTAAACAATTTTCTGTTTATGATCGTTCTAAAATTTCTATCTCACTTTCATTTTAGTCTACATATTTGTATCTTAATTGATAGTGTCACAAGGAATTCTGATTCGTACCACAAACTGCTAGTTTCTCTTCATCACCATGAACCCAACTCCCCAATGCACTTATCAGCATAGCCCTCAGCAAAGGTAACATTAAACAAACATTTTTTTATGAAATGGTAGTCAATAGATTTTTTTCATTAACCTGTGGTTAATTTGTTTTTACTTACTTTTAAGGTTTAAGTACTTTTATAAGAACCCCTCCTTATTTTACACATTCTTATCTCTGTCAATTATAACAGTAGAAAAAAAAAGAACAGTTGTTTTTCCCTAGGAATTTCTTTGGTAGGAAGATCTCAAAAAACTTCTGTCCGTTTCTAAAAATCCCTCCCTCTGGTCCATCACATCCTCCTTCAATAGTCCTCTACCATCAACATTCTCTACCACTCTACCCTTCCAATCCTGTTATCATTCATCTGTCATTCATGTAGATATTTTTATCTAAATTGTCTTTCTTTCATCATATATATGATATTCTTACTAGTTTTAGTAAGGCTTACTTCTATTTACACTCTTATAACAATGTTTTTATTGACCTTTTTGAACCATGATATTCTTCTCTCCTCTAAAAATCCATTTTTTTTCTTGTTTTTTACTTTCACTTATCTTTATATGAAACAATCATAGTGCGATCGTGAAAATTTTCAAATCTGAGTTTTCAACGGAAATACATTTGAAATTTCCTGAGTCCAAATAACCAAGTCCCACAAAATAGTCTGAGTGTGTGTGTATGCATGTGAACAGTCTAGCTCAAAAACGAAAGGTCATTTACAAGTGAAATTGCATATTTACGGATTGTATATACCTGAGATGTTACAGCAACTTTTACATCAAAGGAAATAGCTACCGTCAAAAAAAAATAAATATAATACATTAGACGGTTATGAAAAACATATGGTAATTCATTGTAATTATAATTAAGTTTTAAATAATGTTTCATTCTGTCTATAATTTTTACATTTACTTTCCTTAGTCTGAAAATACTTATTTCTGCTAAGAATAGGGTGATAAATGAAAGTAGTGTGATGAACGCACCGCACCAGATTTTTTTCTGTTGGCATTACAGACCTTAACAATCTTTTACCACCTTAACAAGCCTACTCCATATCTGCTTATCTTATGCTATTTCTTTCCACTAATCTGCATGCAGCTCAATTGCATCTTTGTTCACTCGATCTATCCAACTGCTTTTTGGCCTTCCACCTGTGGTTTTTTGTCTTCTATTGAGGCATTCATTGTCTTGTATAGGCTTCCATATGCAGTGCTCAGATCTACATACAGAAGGATCTTGAACTCCATGCCTTCATATCATGAGATATTGACTGACCAGTTTCTGTAAGCAGATCTCTATTGGTCTTTCTTCTTCATGTATTTGTACTCTGATCCCAGATCGCTCCGGTTATCATGTGAAGGATTTTTCTCTCAAATCTTTTAATATTTCTTTTCTAGGGTACTGGTTAGTGTCCAGGTCTCACAGCCATACGTGAGAACTGGCTGTATCATATCATTTAAATCCTTAATTTGAGATTTCTTGATATTTTTTGTAATTCCAATATCTTTGAAAGGGAGAAAAAGGCTCTGTTTGTGCTTGTTATACGTTGGTCTATTTCCGACCATTGGTCATTCATTGAGGTAATTGTAGAGCCGAGGTATTTGAATTTTTCTACTCAGGAGAACAATTTCCTTCCTACACAAATGCCGTGTTGGAATTTTTGGCTTGTTATCGTATAATTTGTTTTGCCTTCATTTACTTGTAGCCCAATTTGCTGTGCTTCTCTTATCAGAGTCTTGGCGAGTTTTGTCAATGCCCTCTTGATAACTTCCAAGGACAACTATATCATCTGCATACCCAAGGATTTTATATTTCAGCCCATTGTGGACCTCTCCATTTTCGTGTGAGGTTGTTCTTATCACCTTCTCCAGCACTAAGTTGAACCACATCGGAGATAGTCGATCTACCAGCTATAAGCCTGTTCAAACTTTTAATGTTTCAAATACTTCTCCTTTTATTAGGACTCGACATTTAGGGTCATTTGTACAAACCTTTGTCAATCTCATTAACTTACCAGGAACTTCCAATTTTGTCATGATTTTCCAAAGACAGTTTCTGTCTGCAGAATCATAGGCTGCATTGAAATAGACAAATAAGGCTTGGATGTCTTGAGCTACGTCCTATCGTTTTTCGAGTACTTTTTTTTTTCGGTTGGAGATCTGGTCTAGATATGCTTCTAACATACGAAGATCTGATTCTTCTTTTTCAGAACCCAGCTTGGTTGTCGCCTATTACATTTGTGTAATACGGACATCTCCAGTTTAGTAGGATATTGGTCATTATCTTGTAAGCAACCGAAAGAAGTGCTATGCCTCAGTAATTACTACACTAATGGCAGTCAATACAGACAAAAAATTAAAGGAATGTTAAAGGAATCAATTATATCATTATAAAACATATCAAAAAAATAGTAAAGAGCTTAAAAATTCATGAACGAAATTTCTCCTAGTTTATTAGTCACTAAAAAGCACTTTTCGTTTCTTCAGTCATTCTTCAAGCAAGAATAAGTAAAATCGATTTCACAATTGTAAGTGACTAGCGTGTGTCTATGAATTAAAAATTTAATTTGCCTATTATTCAACTATTAATTTTTTAACTGTACCTGAAGGAAGTTCTACATCAAAATAATCAAGGTATTCTGTGTGGTAAATCTTACTATCTACAAACAGAGTTCGAGTTCTATATTTTATTAAGAAACTTTTGGAATCTTAAATAATTTTTATAATCTGAAATCAATTATAAGATTATAACTGCAATAAAACTTAAATTAAAAAATATTTCAAAAATAAAAAAATTACCTTAGTGAGAGCTGATTTTGTAGGAAAAGTAACAACTAGATTCTGTCCATGAATATACTTCCGTGGCAAAGCCTTAAGGCATATCTTTGAACTCTCCTCTGATCCAAGAGAAATCAAACAGAATCCTTTAGACTGACCATTTGCACGGTTTTCAAAAAACTTGACCTCCAAGAAATCCGGTACACCAACTGAGCGTACAGCATCTGCAATATCTTGATCTGTTGTCCACTAGAAAATTTAAGAAAACATGAAATTTTAAGACCACTAAAATATAAATACTGATATTAATTTTTTTTTAACCTACTGCTATGTATTGAACATAGCAAATAAGTTTTTAAAATTATTATGAGATGTCAAAAACAAAGTTGAATGAACCCGACTTCTGACATCAAAAACAGTGTCAAGAGTAGGTAGATAAGGACTGACCTGACCTATACCTGGACCTTAGGGAAGGCTTAGAGTAAAAACTAGTAACGGGCTAAGTAACTGGTTACTTTTAGGGTGTTACCAGTTATTGTGAAGTAATAGGGTGAAGTTAAGAATCAATGAAAACCACCCTTGCCCCACCCTGAATATTTGTATAAAATTTACCGAGAAGCAAGAAAAGAGAGCTTATGTTGGTTTCTGGCCTTGAGGATAGGTCTTAGATTGATACCCGGTCTTGAGGATAGGTATTATGTTGATACCCGATCTTGAGGATAGGTATTATGTTTTCTTCCAACTTGGGGACTGAAGTCTTGGCCCGACATAGACCATGAAAATGGATGGACCGTTTTTGGACCTGGGATTGACGAGATGACCTCGGATCTGCAGATGCAGTGATGAAACATGCCATAACTATACCACTTCACATACCATAATTGCTAAGTTGTAATTCCCAATCCTGATTAAATATTAATTCCCAATAATATTTCATGGCAATAATTCTCAAACAGTCCATCTGAATTCACAGTCATTGATTAAATTCATTGAATCACGTATTTAGTTTCTTGTAAATATAATTTGTATATATACTTTATTAAACATAGAAATAAATTAAGTTTTTTAGTAAAAGTTATTTTAATTCTGCCACCTATGTATATCATGATGATCACAGGTAATGTGAAAGCATGATAAACACAAACCAGCTTCTTGAGAAAAGAAATCGAATTCATTAATCATGGACCAAATATATTATAGATCCAAATTTATTTTATTAATTTTTTATTATTAATTTTACTAAACATTTCTGGGTAATTATCATCAATAATTATCCAATAGCATCCCGAATAAATTGAAACACCCCAAAACTTAGCACTACTTACACTATAACTTAGTTCGAAACAACGCTAGAGATGGATATATAAAACTAATTTTTTTAGGATCCCTACCTCTTCCCCTCCCCCTCCCCCACCGCTTGGTATTTGCAAGCAGATTGAGGAAGGATGCTTAATCACCTATAGGTGCTGGACAGTGATTACCGTTAGTATCAATAACTGGCACGTTAGTTCTCTCACAATGGAAATCACCCTGAATATACATAAAATTTTCTTCTATATTCCTAATTCACATCATTACATTTTTACAATAGACAATAGTGACACTGTGCTCTCTACCTTAATACAATCAAATTTTGTCTGTTTGCAAAATAGATCTGCAAGTTTGTTTGAACTTTTAGAATAAGGGTATTTAGGCCACAGGCCTCAATTAGCATAAGCCTTTGCCCCACAAAAATTCATATTTAGTGTAAATAACCAAGCAAGCTGGTGTTAATATTCCACACACAAATAGAGCAAAGAGTGTGCCATAAATTCAAACTAAAAAATATATGAAATTAAATAAAGTAGCTCGGCACAAACCTTTGTCCCAGGAAAATTTATATTAGTATAAATAACTAAGTGGGCCAGTCATAATAAACATAAATGTGTGCCACAAGTTCGAACTAAAATCATAGAAATTATATAAAATAAATATAAATATATTATAAATGTGTAAGAATACTTTAAATCTTTATTGAATTGGCATTATCGTGTGTTTGACAAATAGCATTCCAACATATTGAACAGTATTATTTCATCTATGTTAACTTACTAAAGAAAATAATTTCCAAGAATATACATAAATTCCAACAATAGTTGTTTTAATGTTGGATAGTTTCAGTAGTTACTTGTATAGAGGGGAAAGTAACAGCAGTTTCAACTATAACTAGAAAAAAAAAAACATAAGAGAATTCTAACTCTATTAAAAGACTAAATATATCTGGGAATAAGTTAATGTCCAAACTGCTCTTGTGACTAAAAATAAAATACAAAAAAAAAATTTAGTTCATAAAGTAATGTTTTGTTTTACCTCGAAGAGGGTAAGCTAAAAATAAATTAGCTTTAGATATTAGTTTTTAGTCATTGTATAATAACCAACATATGAGGGAGAAAAATTAAAAACAGTTTGGAAGATAGATGGCAGAACCTCGCGAGGTGGAGGGATGCTAAGTAATTGTGGATGAAATAAATTTTATTTGTGTGTGGAATACTTTAGTTATACGGCGTACAACGGATTTTCCTTTTTCTCCACCTGGAGTCTGTGATTATCAGCAATGATTGTTGCATGATTTTACAAGTTGATGAATAAACATTTTCACAACTTGAAGAAGTGGGCATAGGAAACCCTGACGATGCTGGCTCGAAGAACTTCAAGTTCATGCTTCCTCAGATGACTCAATGTGCAAATTGAACAAAGTACACCATTGACATTTTGTAAATATATATATATATATATATATATATATATATATATATATATATATATATATATATATATAAGTGTTTTTACTATCTATTTTTTTCAAATCGTAGTTTAATTTTAATTTGTAATGTTTTCTTATTCTTTTCTATGATAATTAAAGTTTATTTTCTTTATTTGTTTTCTTATAAACCTTTGTTTATAAATTTTTTTGTTTATAATTTTCATTTCCTTTAACTGTTATTTTTGACAAAATAAATAGAAATAAGTAAATTCAATATCAGTATTAATGATAGAGTTTTATTTTCTTTTGAGTTTGTTCTAAGGTTTTATTTTTATATTATATTGTTTTGTTAAGGTTTAATACAACATTTTAAAACCCTTTTCGAGGGATTAAGGAGAAAATCAATATTAGCCAAGTAAGAAGGTCCTATGGATGATAAGGGAAATTAACAGATGTTTTTAAACCCATAGATTCTGAGTTTGTAGCTCGCTCCGGGTCCAAATCTTGTATTTAATTTAATATATTTATTTTTTAAAATATTTTTTCGATATTTCCCAAAAAAATCAATACATTAAATAGTGTGGTGCCTGTTAGATAGTTATTAATATTTAATTGACTCTTCATTATTTCTTTTTTTTTTTTTTTGTGAACTCACTGTTTCCAATGAGCGTCCGGCAAGTATGTTGTGGAAAATACTAAGGAAATAATTTTTCCTAAGTTAAAGACCGTGCCACTCAGAATGAAAATTTAAACAAAAATAATAATAATAATAATACTTTATTTATTCTGGGACGAGTCCCTTTAGAATAACACAGAACGACAGAAATGTGGGGTAAGGAGCCTCAGAGATACATAAACAAAAATACAGAGTCATAATAAAAAAATTATAAGTTACTTTCTAATTTTAATCAGTTAAAAAAAAAAAATGAAGGACGATATAATAATTTACATAGTCCATTTATATAGTCTATTTCCAATTTTATGGGGACTGGTGGATAAGAAATGATTGAATAGGTGGGATTTAAAGGTAGGAAGAGTATTGGATTGAAGGATAAGGGAAGGGATGGAGTTCCATAGGGATGAGGACCGTATAATGAACGATCTATCGAAAGCAGCGGTTCAGTGGGCCCTTGTGTATAAATCTGAAGACCGGGAACGAGTATTTGAATTGAAGGGGAAATACTACCTTAAAGAACTAGAATTCTTTTTTAATTATAACAATACCGAAATTAAAAATGACACATAAATTAGAAAAAGTTCTTCAACTTTAGACTCAGAAAGGAAATTCCATTATCTTCAAGTTTGTAAAAATTAAAACTTATCAAGCCCACGGACTCCCACTTGAACTTTTTTTTTTGCTAACCCCATACCAAACCTAGGCATTTTGGGTCATTATATGAAGTAACAACATATAAAGTCTTGTCCATATAAAATTTGTAACAAACGAGTAAGTAAGTAGGAGGTTAGGGACGTTAAGCTAATATTAAAATTTTATCACGGATCCCCAGTAATATCTAAAGTGTAAGAACCTATGAATAAAATCATTGATAAAAACTGTACAAAAAATGTTGTAAACAAGAATTTAACAACAAATATACCCATGTCAGGTTTCCAATGTATAGTTGGTACTTCTTGCCAGAGTATGAAGTAGAGTAATGAAAACTCTCTGTGTTCTCTTCACAGTGTGGAGTGCTGTTACCTGAGTTCTCATTATGAGTAGGGTCCATCACATCATCATAAATATCTATCTGATCAGCATCATCCTAAAAAAAAAATTTACTTTAACCAAATTAGCAAATACATTTCAATAAATTAATTAGGAAAGAAAAATACTGGCAAATTAATAAGAATAAAAGAGATACATTAAAAGTAGCACCAGAAAATGAATCAACCAATATGATCAGCCTAGAAATGATTGGTATAAATATGTGATTAAAAACTTCAAGCCATTGATTTTGAGTACTGTATTTTTAAAGTAGTAAAAAATAAATATTAAAAAATAAAAAAAAATTTATTTTTTACTTATTATATATTTTACTTTTAATATATTTTATTATATATTTTTTACTTTTTATTAAAAAACAAAAAGTATTAAATTAAAGTAATCCAAAACTACAATTACAGGAGCTCCAAACATTAAAAAAGGATTTATGAAAATCATGCTTATATTTTGAATGAACTAACACAGATACAAACAAGCTCTACCATGAAGATTTTTTACAGTGGGATCGAAACATCGATATTGCTGTACAAACATCACTTAAATTTCATGTGTGACACAAAATCTCACGACCACATCATAAATAGAATTTCCTAAATAGCCGAGAGAGTTAGAAAGTAGAAAAAAGTGACTGAACCATCTGGTAAGACATCAACAGAAAAGGACCTGTTGAGGGTTTGTTCATCACTTTAGAGCAACGTAGTGAGCGGGAGTAGAAAGCAGCAATGTAATTACAGCTAATTAAAACCCTGATTTTAATTGAAAAGGAGCAGTAAAGAGTTTACCAAAGTCATAAATAAATCACAATCTTTTTTTTTTGGGGGGGGTCCTTCCCTTCCTCGCCGTTAAGGCTATACGGGATTTTTCCGGGCCAGAGATTTTAAAAGACTCCCCCGGCACCAGGATGCGAACTCGTGACTATTTTTATCTTTGATTCATATGTCAGGTTGCCGGGCAACGGCGGTGCAGTGCACACGCTTTAGCCCATTCGGCCACCCCGCCCACTAATAAATCACAATCTAAATAAAGGGAGAATATACTGTGAACATGTATGTCGATGGTTGAAACTAGGCAGAGACCCCTTCTCAGGTAAGTAGTGGAATCTCCCAATGATGGCCAGTACCCAAGGAAGAAGAAGGGAAAGTGGCAATAAGGGTTGTTCAAGGTGGTTTAAAGTACCGCAGGTGGGTAACGTCTCTTCGGTCGGCTTGTGACTGATGAGGTAGACTAGAGCCTGGCAACTCGCCCACCAGCCTGTCAGGAGGCAGCCCCTCTACCTGACTAGGAGGGCGAGGGCTGATAACCTCCTCTGAAACCTCTTCATCCCGAGACCTCAGCGAGGAATAACTGGCAGATCACATGATAACAGACACAGAAGCTGTGATATGGACATCAGATTAGATATGTGAAACATTAAATCCTATTAATGATCGCCTATGATGATGAGAAATACGGCTTTTACAGTGCTATGGAAGGGACCTTTGATGCATGCTCCAGATCCGACATCCAAGTTCTACTGGTGGATTTCAACGCTAAGATTGGAAGAAAAGATGCATATAAATCCACGATTGGCTCATTCAGTTTGCATGAGGGAAGCAATGAAAATGGCAAGAGAGTAATAAATTTCGCAGCATTGATAAATCTCGTAGTTGGGAACACTCTGTTCCAGGGGCAGCAGATTTAAAAGGTTACGTAGAAATCACGCGATGGTGTTACCCATAACCAGATTGACCACATCTTAATCAGTGCATGTCACAAATTCAATCTCCTTAGTAGTAGGACTTACAGAGGAACAAACATCGACTCTGACTATTACTTTGTATGATCAAGAATTAGAGCCAGGATTGTCACTGTCAGGAGCCACAGGACAGATAGGTCCAAAAGGTGGAACATCGGAAAGCTGAAGGAACCAGAAAGCTGCCAAGTATTTCATCAGAAAACGGAAGAATTGGTGAGATAAGGACTCAGAGTAGCTGATGTTGCAGATGCTGGGACCAACTGGAAAAGATCTTGGACGGCGCAGCAGAACAAATCCTTGGGAACGAGGCTCTTGAGGGTAGAGGTAAATGGTTCAACAAGGAGTGTAAGGTAATCAATGATGCGAAGAATGAAACATGCAGGAACATGTTAAATAACCCCTTCACCAGGAAAGCCATGGAGGAATATAAACTAGTCTTTTAATTTTTGAAAGAAAAATCTTATGGCAAATAGTTGGCACAGTGCGAGATGGAGATGGATGGAGAACTGGGAGGTACAGGAAGCTTTATGACCTTTACAGAGATATGGACGTTCTAAAGTTTATAAAATTGAGGAGACTCAGTTGGGCTGGCCATGTCCCAAGGATGGAAGCAGAAGAAAAGTAGTGGACATCACCCTTCACAGTACACAAAGGACTGGTAGGCCAAGGCTTCGATGGGTTGATGGAGTGGCAGTAGAGCAGTAGAAGCACGTAACCTGCTACGGATCAGAAGCTGGAAAGTGGCGACACAAAATCTGGCCGAATGGAGGTGGCTCATTGAGGAGGCCAAAACCCACCCGGGGTTGTAGCACCACGTAGATAGTTAGATAAATACTGTGAACACGTTATTACTCAGCTATTATCAGAATGCCAATTATACCAAGAGATCTTGGCCCACTGGACAAGGTAGAATTACGTTTGTCCAATAGTAGGCCTTAAGACTAAATTCAGACACAGAAAAATATAGGATTTTTTTATTTTTTCAGATATCAACATCTACAAAAATATCATTTATCTTTGGAACCACAGCCCAAATGTGGTACCTTATGAAACTATATCTACGACTTATTGAACAATAAATAGTTGATTCTGATTCATTAATTTTATACCTGGCTGACAGTTGGGTCAAGATGATATCAATCACACCGTAACATTCCAAAAGATGCAGTGTGTTCAAAAGAACACAGAGCCAACCAATCATTGCAAGACTCCAACTTAAATGAAAAGTAGCCAAACGGGAATCCCTAAATCCTTCAAATGGTCAACAATGGAATATACTCAGAATTCCATCTAAACTATATTATAGATAGATAGATAGAAAAATAATTTTATTCTGGGACACAGTCCCTTGAGAATAACAAAACAGAACAAAATTAAAAGATCACATCTGGCCAAAATAAAATCAAACGAAAAATAGAAATAATGTAAAAAAAATATAAGGTAAACATTCTATATAAAAAAAAACGAAACTATATACAAAACAATTATTACTATGACAAGGCACTTAAAGCTATTTGCACTAGTATACACTTTTAAGAAAATAATAAAGAATTAAAAAATAAAAATGTATCAATGAATCAATCAATGAATTTGTATGTATCGAATTCTCTATTAAAATCAGCTCGAATGGTTAGCAACTATCTGACTGTTCTTGGGATAGGAATTGGAATAGGAGGATTTTGAATTTGGATATGGATGGGGAATGTCGAATTTTGATAGGGAGGGAATTCCAGAAATTGACAGAGCGAACAACAAAGGAATTTTGGAATGAGGCAGATCTGTGAGAAGGCATGTAAAGATTAGAAGGTCGAGATCTTGTGGACAGGGAATGGACTGAGGATTTGAACTGGAGAAGATTGTAGGCGTAAGAAGGACGATGACTGTTGATGATTTGGTAGAGGAACGTACCTAGGAAATATTGTCTTCGGAAGGAGGGGAAAAGCCACTTTAACTCAGCATAGTGGTGAGAAACATGGGAGTATCTTGGGGCCCCGATCACAAATCTTACACAGCTGTTCATTAGTCTTTTCAATCTATCACGGAGCTCCACAGAGAGGCCATCATACACCACACAGCTATAGTCAAAGTGGGGGAAAATGAGAGAGGAAACTAGGAGTCTACGCGTATGTTGAGGTAGGAGATGGCGGAAGCGATGGAATAGTTTGAGGGTGGAAATTGTCCGTCGAGAGATATGAGAAATATGGTGATTCCAAAGGAGGTTTTGATCAATGAAAAATCCTAAGTTTTTAACAGAGGAGTAGAAGGAGATTGGCTGGTCATTAAGGTGAAGGATGGGATCTAAGAAGGGGCTTGGAAGCAATGACAATGGCCTGAGTTTTGGCGGCATTTAACCTTAATCCATTTACATTTGCCCAGGCACTGATTCGATCTAGGTCTTCTTGGATCTTGGCAAATGCCCCCAGTAACTCAGGAGGGGAAAATGATAGGTAGATCTGTGAATCGTCTGCATAAAGGTGATGGGAACAATGGAGAATTGATTTAGGTAGGTCGTTAATGTAGGAGCTGAAAAGGAGAGGAGATATGCTTGAACCCTGGGCAACTCCAGAGGATAAAGAAAGGAAGGCAGATAGTGGTTGGTTGGGTATGGAGACTGCTTGGGTACGTTGTGAGAGGAAAGATTGAAACCAAGAGATGGAACTATTGGAGAAGGATAATAATTTCAGTTTGTTGAAAAGGATGGAATGGTTAATGGAATCGAAGGCTTTGGAGAAGTCGAGAAGGATAAGGATGGTTAACTTTTTATCATCTATTGCAGTTTGAATGTCGTTGGTGATTTTAATTAAGGCGGATTGTGTGGAGTAGCTGGGACGGAAACCAGATTGGAGAGGATCAAGTTTATATTTACTAATACCAAAGCAACTGCAGAATGACACTACTTTACTAGTGTTGATCCACTCTCATGGGTGAGCCAAGATCTCATAATCACAATCCAAATGGGATTAAGTAACATTGAATTTTGACAGCTCACAGTATAACCTTCCTTTATTTTCCAACTCCCAACTTATCCTTTTCAGTTAAAATCAGAGCCTTAATTAGCTTAAATTGCATGACTGCTTCTGACTTCTGCTCACTCAAAAGAGAAAGATGAATCAGCAACAGATCCTTTTCAGTTGAGCTCAGGGTCTTACCATATGGTTGTCACCTTCATCTACTTCCAGATAAACTCGGCAGTTCTTGAAATTTCATCTATAGTGAGATCATGAGATTTAGTGCCACCCAACAAAGAGGAGAAACACTTGTAAAATAATATCAATTGAACTACAAATATTTTAAAATAAATATTATTATTTACAGCATTTTTTCTGCTAACGATCCGTATATTCATAAACAAACATTAATTAAGTGTATAATTGTAAGAATAAACAATTGACAGTATCCCATTCACATCATACGTTTAATAACATCCACATATTGATAGATACTACATTATACAATTAGTTAAGATAATACATATATAAGTATACAAACACAAAATCAAACATTAATGAGATGTGCCAGTTTATAAGTTTAGAATTAATGATTACATTACAACTAATAACATCATTTTAATTCCTTTGCAGCCACATTCATATTTAATGACTAGACAGCAAAATGGTAAGCATTATAGGGTAAAGAATTAAAACAAGTTATAATGAAATATTCTTAAAGTGACAAACAAATATTACTTGCGAGTGTTCTTCATAATCTTTGTGATATATATCCATAGCATCTTTATCCGCCATGCCAATCAACTACACTATGTTAAAATTGCTTTTTATCTTTAACAACAAATTAGATCTTCAAAACGGAGACATTAAGCAGCAGCTTCGGTTGAATATTCACACAATATTGAATTTGATTGATATAAATAAACTAATCTGGATAAACTCCATAAGCCAAATTAAACTGCGGCTTGAAATCAGTGTTGCATTACTAATGAATACCCTTAAAAAAATTGTTGGTAATGTTATTTTCTAACTCCATAAGCTGCAATAAAATTACAGCAAAAACTTATTACATTATAATAATAAAAATATTCCGTAAACGACTCAAGAATAAATGTTCGAAATCGGAATATTCAGTAGCCGAAAAAGAGGGGATTATTAAAATTAACTACGAATGAACCATTTGAACGCAAAACACCAGTATTGGTCTTAAATCAAATGTCATTCTGAAAAGTCACATCAAGTAACACACCCTTAAAAGAAGCATCCTAGGGATTTGCTCAGAGCGCCAATTTTAGAGGGGCGGGAAAATTTGAGGTGCGAAAAAAAAACAGGGGATGTGGTGGTCGATAAAGTTAAAGTGCCTGCAAAAATACATTCAATTGTAGAGGCTTTTTGTCAAAACTGAAAAAAACGGTAGTCAAAGAACGAAAAAGGTATATCATATCTTCAACAGCCATTCAAGAGGTAAGATGGCCAGAAAATAGCGAAACTATTATCGACGACCATACACCGGATTTATAGTCAGTCCAGCGGTAAGGAAATTACTTTTTTTTTTTTTTTTTGTGGGCACAAACTTCACTTTTCTTATCTTTTCTCCATTCTTCCACATGAAGCCGGTCGAAGCAGCTGCAGCTAGTCAGCTTGTCTTAGCTTCCTTCTCTTCTTCCCAGATTAAAATGTGTAGGGCCTACCGCATCTTTCCACCCGTATACGAACTCCCTATAATGTGGGTAATTCTCTCTGCTCATTAGCTGGGGGGAACATGTTCTCTGTCAGTGTATATACAAGGACATCCACAAGTACACCTGGGTAAGCTCCAAATGAGCGAAAAACCAATTTGACCATTTGCTGGTAGACAAGTGACATTAGAGCTCAATACAAGACGTAAGAAGCTATCGTGGAGCAGTCTGTGATTCCAATAACTCTCTGATTAGTATAAAATTATGTCAGAAATCGAAACGAATTAAAAAAACCAGCGGTCGGGTGGAAAGAAATTGTCAATTCATTGTTTATTGTAGCAGTGCTGGCGTTAGAGTGAAGCAATCGCCCCGGGGCGCCAACTTCGAGGGGCGGATTGTCGGTTGTGCCAGCCGATCTTCAGAGGCACTTGCCACTTCATAGTAATTTTTAGAAAATACAGAACTCTTTAAAATAATTTATTCGAGGCTAACAATTAAACAACTGTATTAGAAAAATGTTGAATGCGATAAATTTCAAATATCACGTTTATAAAACAGCTTAAGAAATAAATTAAATCTTTTACGGGAGAGTAAGAGGGTGAACCGCATCTCTAAGGCCGGCATTTCATTGAAGTTATTCTTATGTAATGTTTGAATTTTATTTCATTCAATATTTTTCTAATACAGTTGCTTTATTAATGGGCTAAAATTAAAGGGTGGCACTGCATATCTGGGACTTGTTTCTGTATATTTCTTTAATGACGCTCAGAAAATTATTGTTAATCCCATGCTTTCTTAGAGATTTCTATGACAGGTTGTGCGGTAAACTATAATATGCATTTCTAGTTCTTTAATGATCAAGTTTAATCTTGCCAGGGTTAGAAATACTTAGCACCGAAAGCTAAAAGCATCCCCTCGCTGTAAGATAAATATGTGGAGTTAAAAGAACAACAAAATTTAAAAAAAGAATAATGTTACCAATTAATTGCAAAATATACTGCAATTATCTGAATCAGACTTACTTTACGTTAATTTGCAGTATATTTGTCATATTATAGACCAAGATACTTTCTGTTTAAATTAGTGATTTTCAATGTAATATTTATAGTCCAGTTTGTATGTAATGAAAAGTATAATTGATAACAAATGAGTTTTGTGTATGCTGTTTCTAAATATTAATTTACTTTAAAACATACTTATTTATCAAATACTAATTACAAAATATTATAATTTAAATACTCTTTATTAAATAAATATTTTAAAAAGTTAAATTCCACAACCGGGGCTATGGAGTGAGTTTTTGGCGCCCTGAGAGAGATTTTGCCTGGCTCCCACTCCATCCCAAATCGGCCAATATCCTATTACGCAATGTTTAAATAGAGAAAGAGAACTAAATGATTAAGTAGAGATATATTTAAAATTTTGTCCCGGTCACCCAGCCCACGTATAAATAACAGCTGTTTATAAGCAGGATGAAATGCTGAACATTTCCCTCGCTTACAGTATGCAGGTCCCTGTTTTAGTTTCTGAGGTATTTTAATCCATATCTTCAATAACACTCGTTATAATTTGGTATTAGACACTACTCTTTCCCTTTGCGCCTCTATAGCACCGCATCGCGTTAAGATACTATTTTGAATAATAGCACATTACAGAGAGGATGTAATGCTGAGAAATTTCCTGGTTTACAGTATGTAGGTCCGATGCAAGATGGGTACAGTATGTATGTAGTGTTACAGAATTTAGGTAAATGTAAGATGGGTCCTCCCGGATTACTGGGTGTCTCAACTCCTCACGGGACATGGGGGCTTCCAAGCGAAGCTCGTTAAACACGAGAAGAATATTGATCCGCTAAGCCCCAACTGCAACGTTCCGGAGACCGCCGAACATATGGTAGTCGAATGTACTGCCTATGATGCACTAAGAGCCAAGCTCCTGAGAGAGACGGGGATATATACACTGACAGAGAGCTTGTCCCCCCAGCTAATGAGCAGAGAGAATTGCCCACATTATAGGGAGTTCGTATACGGGTGGAAAGATGCGGTAGGCCCTACACATTTTAATCTGGGAAGAAGAGAAGGAAGCTAAGACAAGCTGCAGCTGCTTCGACTGGCTTCATGTGGAAGAATGGAGAAAAGAAAAGAAAAGTGAGGTTTGTGCACACGAACATGTCTACACCTCATAAGTAATAATGTTAACAAAATTTTAATAGACCTATACTGCCAGCAGTGGAATACGCATACTGTTGCTACAACCCGTATTGTCTATAAGGCAAGGCAGAGAGAAGGAAAAAAAAAAAATTATATAGGTCCGATTTTTAGTTTCTGGGATATTTTAATCCATATGCAAAAACACTTCAATTAGTCGACTCCAGCCGAATTTATCCGAGCGTTACACATCAGAAATCTGACCGCTCAATCTAATCCGCTCTCCACAAAAAAGTGTAAAAAGTTTTCACTTAAAAAAAAGGCACGATATCGAAATTTGATATTATCATTTTTCTACCGTTATTACTTACTATCGATTCTCGGCTATCGTTAAAATATATCAAAGTATCACTTTTTAGTAATATCGATTGTTTAGCGTCATCCCTGTCGGTCAGTGAAGTAACTCCGGTCCCATGCAATAGTTGGGTTTGACTTGTTTAATAATTAGTGATTACTCTCTTTTCGATTTTTATGTCATGATGTTTTAGCCCAAAAGTCGTTTCTAAACGTTTTTGTTTTTAACTCTTCGTTTTGGAGACTTCATTCGTTGCTATATTGGGAAAGCCCTATAAGTTGAAAGTAGTTAACCGGCATGGCGGATAAAGATGTTATGGATATATACCACAAAGATTATGAAGAACATTCACAGGTAAAAGTTGTATAATCACTTTTACAATAATGTGTCTTTTTATTTTTACCACTTTATATGATAGCGTCAATCATTTAGTTATTCAATAGTAGTTTTGAATTTAATAATGTGATCAATTAGTTCCAAGTTTCTTTGATATATCATTTTATGATCCTTGTCATATAATTGTATTTTGTTTATTTTAATAATATAAAGGCAATTGGATGCTAATTCTATTCTATGCCAGTCTACAGAATATAAAGCTTACATTAATAAAAGCATTGTGTGTGCTTATGATCACACGATAGAAATTAAAACATCAAGGCGAGATTAATAATATGAAATAAAAATTTTTTTTTCATTCTATATTCACAAAGTAATAATATTTATAATATATACTATCATAATTTTGTTTAAATTACTCTAATAAACTTTGCTCTGACTGATATCATACTCTTGAAATGAAACAATTAGTTTATGGTAACTAAAGATCATCATCATCATCATGTATGGCACAACATCCCAACTAAAGATAACAATGAATACTTCTGGTTTAAAACCTGTTCTCTAAATATCTAACATATACTCTGCCAATTGTTCCTTATTTTGTTGTGCTTTCATTTGAACTGTTCGATATATCCAAACCGGATGTAGATTTCAAAAAATCAATTAAAGGTTTTGATGTACTCTTTTTAGAAATCAACATTGAAATCTGCTCTCAAAATCATTGGTATTGTATGAAGTTTTTGTTAGAGAAGAGCAGGTCCTGTTTCAATGTTGATTAGTAAATTTTCATGGATGAATTCGATGATTTTCTTTATATTTTGATTAGGTAATATCTTTATTGGCTTCTGTAAATTGATATCTGAATTCTCTATGTTATTTAAATTTTGAGATATTTTAGTCTATATGTTGAAAACAGTTGTTATGATTTAGTTCTCTTTCTATGTTCTCTTTTTCCCTTTCTGACCCTAACTCGGTGTTACATCAGAATGCAATTGTAGATCATAAGAAAGAGGATGAAATGTTGAAAATTTCTCTCACTTATAGTATGCTGGTCCGAATTTTAGTTTCTGAGATATTTTAATCCAAATTCAGAAATTAGTCTATTCAGGCCGACTTTAACTGAATAAGTGTTACATAGCCAAACATGACGGCTCAGTACCATTTAATACCCACAAAATAAAATGCTAATAATGCCTAAAAAAATGTTCACTTAAAAATCAGAGTATGTTATAACCAAAGGCCAGATTTTTAAGCAATTGTATATTTTGTTTGCATACAATTTTTAAACTGGTTATCAAATATTTATTTGAATCGGTGTTTCCAGATCCAAATAAAGAAGTTTTATATGCAATATTTTTGCATATTTGATGATTAATGCATATTTTGATTATTTCATATAAATAATAATAATTAGAAACAATGAATTAGAATGGTACATAGAAGTTGAAGTTTCATAATAGAATTGTAGG